TCTATGAATTTGCCTATTCTAGACATTCCATATAAGTGGAATAATATGGTATTTGTGCTTTTGTGACTGGCTTATCATATTGTAGCATTTGTCAGTTCTTCAGTCCTTTTTATGGCTGAATAATAATAATTCGTCATACATACTCATCTCTTGGTGGGCACCTGGGTTGTGTTCACATGTTCTGGCAGTTGTGAATAAAGTTTCAGGAAACATTGGTGTACAGTGATCTGAGTACCTGTGTGAAGTTCTTGGTAGTATATGGTTCTATGTTTGGCTTTTTGAGGAAGTACCAAACTGTCTTTGATCATCTTATATGTCCCACCAGCACTGTACATTTTCATAGTTCTCCACATCCTTATCCTTTTCTTCCTTTAAATTATAGCTATCCTATTATTTATTTCATGTTCAGTTTCAGATGCAGAGTGGGATATTATTGTGGCTTGATTTGCTTTAACCCAATGACTAGGATGTTGATCAAATTTCACGTACATCTTGGGAATTCATGTATCTTCTTTGTAAATATGTCTATGTTAATCTTTGTGTGTGTGTGTGTGTGTGTGTGTGTGTGTGTGTGTGTGGTGCTCGAGATTGAACCTGTGGCCTCCCACATTCTGGGCAAGCACTTTCCCACTGAGCTACACCCTCTTTCCCCTTTGCCACTTTTTAATTTTTGCTTTTTGAGGTAGGTTCTCTCTATGTAGCCCAGGCTGGTGCACACCGCCACGTCCAGTGTTCCTTTGCCACTTTTAAAGTTGAGTTGGTTTTTTTTTTTTGGTACTCAATTTAGGAATTCTGTATATAATCTAGATATTTAGTCCTTATCAGAGATATGATTTGTAACCATTTTTCACCCATGTAGGTTTGTCAAATCAGTTTCCCAATAATGTTCTTTGGTGTACAATTATTAGTTTTGATGGAATTCAGTTTGTCCATTTTTGCTTTTCTGTATATCTAAGAATCCATTGCCAAATCCGAGATCACGAAGATTTATTCCTGGTTTTATGCTAAGAGTTTTATGGTTTGGGGTTCTTCTGTTTAAGTCACCGATCCATTTTGAGTTAATTTTTGCATGTGGCATAGGGGAGAAGTCCAGCCTCATCCTTTTTCATGTAGAAAATGTGCATGGAAGTTCCATTAGTCAGAGAGACTTCTTTTCTTCCACTGGTGAGCAGAATTAGCACCCCTGTCATAAATTACTTTGCCGTAGTTACATGGACTTTGAGTTCTGTTGTCTGCCCTTGTGCTGGTACCACAGTGCTTTGATTGCTGTAGCTTTGCAGAAAGTTTCAAAACCGAGAAGTGAGTCCTCCGACTTTGCTCTTCAAGATTGCTATGGCTAATTAGGGTTCCCCGAAATTCCATCTGAACTCTATGAGCTGGCTATTCTCCTTTTGTAAAAAGTCTGTTGGAATTTTGATAGGGATTGTGTACATTTGTAGGTCACTTTATGTTGTCTCGTATAAGAGTTAGTAACAATGAAGAATGGCACACTTACAGGACTGACTGTCCGTATTTGTCGTGGCAGCAGTCAGTCAGTACATCATCACATGCTGTGGAATAATCCCTGCTTGTATATCTTTTTTTTTTTTTTTTACAACCCTCAAGAATGATACCCAAGATATTTTTTAATTCTGTAATTTTTAAATTTTCTTATGTCATCATTTTAGGAACTGCTGTTAATAAAGAATGAAAATTTTTTTAAAACTTAGTTAAGTGCCCCTGGTGTTCTAGAAAGGCTCTTGGATTCCCTTAATTTTTTGTGGGAATCATATCAGTTCTGTGTTTTTCCCCTTGGAAACTCTTCAAGAGCCTGCCTGTGCTTACATGGTTTTCTACAGTCTTTGTGTAATAATTTTTGTTCTAGGTTTCTTCCTGGTGTGTCCGTCATTGTAAGATTTGTTGTTACCATTTTACTTATTGTATAAGCAGCTTGCTCTGCTAATGCTTTCAAAGATTTGTAGGTTTCATTTGTGACTTAACCAAAAAAGGAGAATCTACTATTTAACCTAGATAGTTTCATGTAGAACATTTCATTGTGCACGTTGGATCCTTTACTGCTTTTCCTTCTCACTTTAAGCCTCATGAAATGTCTTGTTCTTAATTCTTGCTAATTTTTTGTTTTTGCATTTTCCTATGTGAGTGTGTGAGTACTGTTTGCACACCTGAAGACAGTGCTTCTTTTCTTTCTACTAAGTCATCTAAGATATCTAAGAGAATTGATCCTCTGGGGTCCTTTGTCTCTTTTGTCTCCTCTTGGTTAGCTTAAAAAAATCTCTCATTTATTTTCCAGATATGGACAATTCAGTTTATTTGTATAGAACTTGGTCAAAAATTGTTTTAAATGCTGCATAATGATATTTAATTACTTTTGTTAATGAATTCATGATTTCAAAGAGTCATTAGAAGCAAAGTGTTCTGTGAACTTTGTGAATTTCTAGCTGACACTTTTCTTTCTTAGACTGTTCCTTCCTAAGACCCACTGCTCCTGGTTTGCAAGCTAAGACTAAGTCAACTCTGCAAGATTGCTCAATGACCCTATCTTTAGTCAGGCCTAGCTGTGCTTGGGGATCTACACAGTTTTGCCTCTTCTAGATTGCTTCTTCCTTCTAAGTTCCTGGCTATGTTTTAAAAAAAGATTCTTGCCTCACTAATATGTATTCTGAGTGTATTTGCCTTTCCTATTCAGTGTGATGGGGGAGGCTACCATTTCTCCTGTGCACATCTTCCTTGAGGAGCTTGAGTCTTTTGTGGCCATAAAGAGTTAGTCAGGTCCTCCTGCAGCTCCCTTCCCAAAGGTGCTCGTGGGGATATTTTACATAGCATGTCATAGGGAATGTAAACTTTTCATTTCCCATGGTAGTAGTGTTAATGCAACTCAAAGCATGGCTTCCTAGCCATAAAGTTCTGTTGAGTAAATGGCTAAGTGGTAAGAGGATTTACAGCCTAGATTCTGAAGTAGGGAGCTGTACAATAACTAGGCGTAAAGGAAATGGCTACCATATAGTTTATTTATGTGAACATTACCACTTTTAGTTGCTAAAATTTGTAAACAGTTATCTTGTAGTATGTTTTTAATTTTTATCGGGTTTCAGAAGATTATTGTATGTATTACAGATATTTGAGTTTTTATTATATTGCATTTAAAAAAGCTAGCCATTTGATCATTGTGTTTATAAAATTGTCTATACCTGTAATTTAATAAAATAAGACAAAGTGTGGAGTCTTATATTTATGTATGTATTTGCATATGTGTGTATGTACATTGTAGTGCTGGGATCAAACTCTGGACCTTACACATGCTAAACATGCACTCCACCATTGAGCTACACCTCAGCCCCAGCATACAGTTAGAGTTCAGTGTTAATTTATTTGGCAATAAACCTTAAATGTACCATATGTATTTTTATCTAGTCATGTAACAGGACTAAGTAGATCATGATACCATGAAACTTTTTGTGTATTTTACCAACACACAGATTATTTTTAAGTTTGTAGTGTATCATTACCTGATAAACTTCATCATAAAATTGAAACTGTGGCTAAGTACACCTATAAATACTCTATGTGTATCAAAGAGTTGTAGAAATTTAATTGTAAGAATGCTTAAAATTTCAGATCATTATAATTGCATAGGCAACAGTATGACCAAGAAGACAGGTTTATTGTGTTTTTCTAGGGAGAGTTTTTCCAAAGCACTCAAATATGTATGTTTGTATGACTATATGTGTGTGTCCCTTATTTTATACATACATATACATATGTATGAATGTTTTTAAAGGATTTTTCAAATATGTTACCTATGATTCTGGTTTTGATTTTTGTAGAAACAATTTTTAAGCAGGAAGGGGCTTAATTGATGTCCCAGTCTAATGATAATCTTATAAATGAATAACATAACATGGCCAGGTTAGTTTTCTAGAGATTTCAAATGATAGAATGAGAACGTTGGCTCTCCTGTTTTCTTCCTTTTACATGACTATTTTTACCATAGCTTGTTTCTTAGTACATGAAACACTGTACTACTGTGATATAAAGAGAGTTACAAAAGGAGCATTAATTTCCATACAAGTCATCCAAAATGCTTAATTAACTTGGAAAAAAACTGCTTAATAAAAATAATGCTGCAGAAGAAATTTTTCTTTAAAAAATAAGTTTAAATTAAGAGTACTTACTAAAATATATGCATGAAACATAACGTTTAAATAGATATTATAGCAGCATCATAATTTTTCTTGAAGCTTCACCCCCACCCCCTGCAACTAGTCATGCTTCTCTCCTGGAGGAAAAGGAAACTCTTGGAGTAGTGAATGTGGGAGGGGTAGGTTTGCTGACAGGCCAGGTAAAATTACCTAGCTACACCTGGATTCTCTTCTCTGTGCTAGCTTGCTAAGTCAGAAAAAAAATAACTCTTCTCCAGTGTTCATGTGGGAGTTCCCTGCAGGCATGGCGGAAGTTTCCAGGAAGGGGCTGTCAACTGTGCAGCAGTCCAATTTAGGACTGCTTAAGGATCTTTTCCTTAAAAAATTTAGGATAATTTGATTTGAGAATTTAGAAAAATAGACTCTCTAGGTGAAAGAAATGTTTATTAGCCTGGCCAAGTTAAGTTATGAAAGCAAATTATTTGCATATTTTACTTTTTTGAACATTTTTATAGTTTGCGAATGAGGCATTTACCATCTCTATTGGAATTCTGTAACTTCACCTGAGAAAGAGTCAAAACAACTTAACACAAGACACATTCATACTAATTCTCCTTCACTTACATTATTTGAAGCCATTACAGAATTTGAAAACATTATGTCAAAATTTTCCGGAAAAACACATGACTGAAATGGAAGAATTTGAGTACTTCCCTGTCTTAACAATGTCTCTTTCTTCAGTGTGTACTTTTTGCAAATTTTTAAAAAAAAAAATCTGTAGGGGTTGGCTTAAATTCAGAACTGATGTTTCTTCAACCTTGGAGGTTGTCCTAAAGTGGCATTTTTTTTTCTCCCTTCTAGCTTTGGCAAGCGCTCTGCAGGAAGCTTTAGGCGGGGCTGTGAATGCATTGTTTTAGAGCCTTCTGAAATGATTGTGGTAAGAATATGTCTGAAAGGACTTCTTTTTTTTCTAAAAAGTATTATGAAATAAAGATATTTCCACCAACTACTTACCATGGTATATATTTTTTTGTAGTACCAGGTATATTTTTCATAACTTTTTTTATGGATTTGAGTTTATACTTGTAATTATTTACAGGATTCAGTTAAATACAAAAGATAGAAAATTGAAAAGGGTAAATGTTTGGTATTTGAACTTTGTAATTCAGTCTTTAATGCTATTTAATTGAAATTTGGGGAGGACCTTTGAACTGCAGGGTTTTGGCTCTGAGTGTTATCAGAAAGAATGAGTTACTTTAACTGAGTCATAGCGATGTGTATTCAGGGAACAATTAACATAAGAAAATTGCTTTAATAATTGAAAGAAAATAAGGGGACTACTATGCTAATTAAACTGTTGACACCTTTGCCTCTCATAGTGTGATATTAAAAGTACATTAAGACAGATTATTCATAATGTTAAAATAGATAATAACATAATTATTTTCGGTGAGGCTTAAAAAAAAAAAACCTCTGTCATACTTCTTCCTTACTGTATAAAAATTATTTAAGAGAGGATAATAAGGTATCCTTTAAAAAAACCAGTATGTTCAGTTACTTTTGTTATTCTTAGCTTCCTCCTATCCAGCATCTTATCTGGAGAGGAAAACCCTCAAAATGAAGGATGGCCTAAGAAAGGATGATGCATAGTTTTCATTCACATTTGATTAAGTGTTCGGTAGACAACAGTGTGTCTATTTTTGGGGAAGACTTTGGACTTTCCCTTGTGATGGATGAGAGGAATTTCATCAGCAATAAGGACTTCCTCATCACAGCTAGTGAAACTTTTGACCAAATTTCACAAAGTTACTTTTAAATGAGGGTAAGTGGTGAGTAAAGATTGGGAAAAGTGGAGGCAGATAAATGGGACTTTCCAGCACTGAGTTTTGAAAAGTATTCCAGATATTTCCTTGAGATTTGGCCTTAGTTAAAGCTATTTTTGGATTTCTCTGAAGGGCTTTTGGTCCATAAAACTCTTGGAGCACTTAATACATGACAACATCACACAAACTACACACTTCCTGGTGTGAGACTAGCCCCGGAGTCAAAGTGTGAGCTGTCACTTTGACAGTATGTAACTATAATGAGGAATAAGCAATGTAACGTTGTTCTCTATTAATCCACTCAACAGAGTTTCTAAAATGTTTAAAATGAGGAATTATTTTTTAAGCATGGGTATTTATAGCAAAAGGAAACTGAAGCTATGCCATGAAAGTAGGAAGAGAAACCCTTAATTTCCCAGAACCATTCTGCTAGCAGTCCTGGTTGGGTCAACCAGACTTGGGGTTTTACAGATTTACTCAAATACACCAGATTTTTTATGTGTTTTAGTTAAGACAATGCACTAGTTGCTTTTGTAATGTGTGAGACTTATCCTGTGAGAGCTTTCACTAATAAATCAGTACAAAGACTACTGAAAATATCCTTCCCTTTGAAACTACAGGAAATTCAAGAGTAACCCATATTGTCCTAAGTGGAACTGAAAATGACTCTTTATAAAAGAAAAGTTACTCAAAGCCAGTTAGTGTCAGAGAAGTTCAAACACACTGAAAGGATGTCTAGTTTGTCTGCTGAATGTCTTTGCAAAATGACTGAATACAGACTATTTGTAAGTGTCTTTTTGTATCTAGTATTAATATGGAATGTCATATTTGGAGAAGTGAATGTCTTGGGGGTTGTGTTTCAGGTGGACTATATGGATGAAAATGAAGAATATTTTCAGCGTCAAGCCTCCCATAGACAGTCACGAAGAAGATTTAGGAAGATCAACCAGAAAGGGGAAAGACAAACAATTATTGACACAGTGGAGCCTTACCCTGTGGGCAAACCACCTTTGCCCAGAGGCTATCACACGGTAGGTTACACAAATACAGTACTTTTAATATCCTTTGTGTTTTTGTTGGGCGTCTTGTGAAAAGACATTTAAAATTTCCATTTTTGATGAATAATTCTTTTCTATGATGTGCTTATTTAAGATGTAGATTTTTTGGAATCACACATGATATGAATAGTTTTTAAAAAGCATTGAAATAAGATGTCAAAAGATACTATTTAGCTCTTTTATTTCTTAAAGTCTCCCAGAAAGTCGGCTTTGTGACAAGTACTGTAACATTGCAATCAGCATATATTTTAAATTGTCTTCCTTAATCAGAGTTTTAGTCTCCTCCTGTGTGCCTTTCTCATGGCTGGTATCATGTCTAGTTTTAAAAACTAGATATGTAGAAATTACATAATTTTCATAACTTTTCAGGCTATTGGAGATTCTTTTCTAATACAGTGAACTGTAATGTTAATAATTTGAAATGATGATGTTTTAAGTCTCAATGTGAAAATGGTCTGAAATACATGTTCAAAGATCCTCAGAAGTGCCATGACCTGCACTTATGCAGGTCATTTTTTTCATGACTATTTGTAAACTATTCTTTATGTTTGAAGGACTCAAGACACATAATAATGTTTTGTATAGGTACTCCACAGAGTCAGTTTAGCCCTTTATTTTTCTTAAGCAATAAGAGAAGCTAAATAATTTTTTTTTCAAGAACAAAGTTGCTTGAATTCTTGAATATGTGATAATAAGATAGAAGATAGTTTGTCTGTGCATTTAATACTAGTAAATGCATGGCCATTATGTGTGAAATTAAGTTAAAAATACATAAAAAACAAATAGGTAATAGACAATTACCCTACATCTCTCAGTTATTTTTCCTATTTTTTCTGCAAATAAGTACAGATGTAAAATGCATGGGAAAATGTATATGTACTAAAGTTATTTACTCAGTTTTTAGTAACTTTAAGGAGGGCAATGTATTTTATATCATGCTCATATATGCTGTTTCTTAAAGAGCTGTTTGTATTTCAATATCTAATGTGGTTTTGGACACCAGCAATCTACCCCACTCCTCCTGCTACCCATGCACCACTTTAATTTAACACCAACTTTATACTTGAATCATTTCATTGAGCTTATTTGGAAAGGCTTGCTTTTTGCTCATCACAAAGACCACTTTGTTGATCTGTTGGAGAGACTTGGTATTAAAAAAAATTGAAAGGTTTTTTTTGTTGCCATTGTCAGTAAAAGAGAGTAGTATTTTTAGTGTTGATTTAGCATCATGGAAGAAAAAAATACGTATTAAGAATTGTACATATTAATAGTGTAGAAGACTGTTACAATCTTGGCCTTCTACTATTCCCGTTAATATGCTTTCTGCTTTGGAATAATTTTTCTAAATTGGTTTCCAAACTAAGAGGGTGTGTGAATTACTTAAAACTTAGTGTTGAACTTGATTGGTTTATTTTTAGGTATATTTGTTACAGCTAAGTTGGGAGGGTCATCCTATAACCATTCCTCTCCCACCCAGCTTCATGCTACAGACCTATTCATTTGCTTTCTATGCACGACTCCCCTTAACAGTCTGTTTTAAAAATGAATACTTTTGGTAATGCTACAAGACATTTTTTAGTGGTTTTGTAACTATATATTATCTGATCCACAGGTACTTTTAGGGATAATTCAAAACTAGGATGAAAAATTTAACTTGATTGCTAATGGATCATGTAATAGTTTACTAATATGTGACATTGGTAATAATTTTACTACTTAGTAAGATTGGGAACACCATGGCCATATTCAAAGTATTAGGTCCTTTTTTGGGATACAAATAGTGTTTTAATTATATATTATTTATGTCACCTAACTGTAATTTCAGTGTAGAAAAATAAGAAAATTTTGTCTTGTTTGTTTGATACCACGTGGGAAAAAGAATTAAATGAGAGTTATTATTCTTCATTAGCCTTAAGTCATGTTTTCTTATTCTTAACAGAAATATGTCTCTTTGAAAGAAATTGACTAATAAGAGTGAGGCAGAGGGTGGAAAGCTATTTAAAGAATTGCACGAGTATACTTTATATGATTTTAAGTGACTGCAAGTGCATTTCAAGTGCATGGCTAAAGAACATAGAGAGCATCATACATGCAGCCAGCTCTGTATGGCCATTCTTAACCTGCTTTTAACATTAGCTTCACTGTGCCAGGTATAATATAGCATGTCTGATAATGTTCCTCTTTTCCTTCCCTCCTCTATGGCACTCATTCATTCCGGCTCAAAGGAATGCACTAAACCTCAGGTATTGTAATTTGTGTGTGGTTTCCTAACACTAACCTAAGTTTATTTGTGAATTTGCTATGTAACTAATGAGTTTGTAATATTGGATGTGTTTTGCTTGGTCTTGTCCTTTTGTATTTTTCTCTGATTAAGTAAAATCTCTTAAAACTTTGAAACTTAAGGGTAGTATAGATTACTCTTTTTATATTGATTTGGGGATGGATTGTCCACCTTCTTTGAAGAAAGAATACATGTGCAACCTACTTACTTTTAAGAATGAATGCAGCACTGCCCTTTACTAACTGCTTTCCAAATAAAGGAATAAAGAGAAAAAAACAGACATGTTAGAATTCTGCTCTTTGTGTGAGACCTCATGGGAAATTCATTAGAAACTTACATTTTAAATACTGTAGAACACGTTAATGCTTAGGAGTACCAGTATGAGAGTCTACTGGAAATTTTTTAATCAGACAAAAATAAAGGAGGTAAGAGTTTAAAAACTCTTGTATTTTCTTATCTGTATTTTGTTTCTAGCCAGATTTTATACTTTTACTGCATTCTATATTTTAGTTGAGAGACCTCTAAAGACTATCCTTGCTTATTTCCTTCATGCTAATGTACATCATTCACATATGATTTTTCAATGTTAGTCTTTGGAAGGTGGGAATTATATGTGGAGTTAGGGAATTTGAAATTAAGGAAGAAAAACTCATCTCTGGAATGTAACTAGTAAAGTTTTATTATCATAAATAATTAACTCCCATTGAGGGAATGTGTCATTAAATATAGGATGTTTGACTATTTTGCTTGTAAGCATGATATATCTTTTTTTCTTTCTTCTTTTGGTACAACCTGAATTTGAACTTGGAGCTTTGTACTTTCTAGACAGTTGCTCTACTGCTTGAGCCACCTCTATAGTCTGAGTGTACTAATTTTTAAATAATGTGGTAAATCTAAAATATTTTGATAAAAATTTTAAATCTGGCAATTATGTAATTTCTGAATTGTATAACATTTAAAATGACATCAGTGTTTTGAACTTTCACCTGAAAAGAGTATACTTGAAAATACATAATTTAATATTTTGAAAGATAATTCACTATTGATCCTCACCTTTTTTGGCATGAAAATTAACTGTGGTTTAAACCTTGAATTTAGAATCTACGCTGTGGTATAATTATACTCTCTCTTTAAAGTTGGCTGTGTGGTAATAGCTTAAAACAGATCATGATGATTTTCTTCAGAACACGAACCCTCACATAGGCTGTGTAGAGCTTTCAAGACATTGTTGTCAAGGCAAGTGTCTGAGCGATGCACAAAATAAGCATTTTTAAATGCAGTGAGAAGGGAAGGTTGGAGATGACTTTCATTAGCATTTTCTTAAATTTTGATGAGAGGAGGTTAAGTCTGTATTTAAAACTGCCCTCTCTACCCCCAAAGGATGAATTTCTAGTCTTTAGAGTAAGTAGATCCCAGAGGCAGGAAATAAAGGCCCCTGGCAGAGGCTGGAAGGTTTGGACTCACACTGTAAAGCACCTGAGGTAGGATGTGCACAAGGAATGCTTTACTCCGTCCCCAGGTTCAGAATAGGATGGGAAAGAAAGCTTTGTTGTTTTGCTTTCTTTACTTCAGCCCCTTCTGCATTCATGGGTAGTTTTGTCCAGCAGTTGGTATGGGAGGGAGATCCAAGCTCCATGATGAAATGGAGAGGAGAGATAGTAGAGTTGAAGGTGAGGAAAGACCACTTAACTTCATCTTGTTGGAGTCCTGTGGCAAGCTGGCACATGCCTCTTAAGTCATCTTTCTCTCTTCTTCTGAGTTTAATAAGAAAAAACAAACAACTCTTTCCTCTTCCCAATTTGGAAAGAGCAAAAATTGTACAGAAGAATTGTTAGAAGACCAAAGAAAACTGGTCCTGTCCCACCTGTGGGGTTACATGTTCCAACTGACAATTCAGAAATTTCCAGCCATTTCAGCGCAAAAGTTTTGAAATAAAACTCACCGGTCATGTAAAAAGATATCTCCCACATTGTCTAGTACGTGTCCTTTCCTATAATGGAAATACATATTTACACGTATTGACTTTTTATCTTGATGAGCTATAAAGTTTTTGATTGGGCTGGGCATGGTGGTCCATGCCTGTAGTTGTAGCACTTTGGAGGCTGAAGTAGGAGGAAGATCGTATGTTCAAGGCCAGCCTGCACTGAATCTACCTCTAAATAAATAAATAGGCTTTTGAAGATCAGTCACATTTTATAAGATTATTCTTTATAGTAATTTAAGACAAATTCTATGTCTTAATATTGTCTGTTTAAGACATCACTGTTTCTAGGATTTGTCTTACGTATCTCCTTGGTAGATTTGTTTTTTAGCTTTTCTTTATTTTAAAATTTAAACTTGGACTGGAGGCATGAATCAAGTGATAGAGTGCCTGCCTAGCAAGCACGACACCCTGAATTCAAACCCCAGTATGCCAAAAAAATTATTTTTAACTGATACATAAAAACATAATATACCCATATTTATGGAGTATTATGTGACGTTTCCATACATGTATGCATTGTGTAATTTTTAAATCTGGGGAAATATATATTTTATAAATAAAATTTCCTTATGGTATTTTTTGAGATACTTGATTTAAAGAGAATTTAACAGTCAAGGATTTCTTGGTAGGTTTGATTAGTTTCAAAAAACTAGTTTTTGGAATAAGTGAAAAATTACATTGTTTAGTTTGATATTAGACTTTTTGACTTGAGCTATTGTTTTTAAATTAGAAATAGATAGTACTTTCACTCATATCGTGGCTTTGCCTTGTCATTTGATGTTTTCTTAGTTTAATTTAGTATTTGCTATTTAACAATAAAGATATGTTTTAAGTAATATATCAATGGTTTATCTAGAAAATTTTCTAGAATACTAAGGACTTCAGATTTTAACTTCAGCTGACTTTAGTTTATTCAAATACAGGAAAACGTCTGTTGTTTTCATCCTTTTAAAATTTAAATCCACAAAGCTTTTCATTTTCTTAATTGAACTTAAAGCAGTTGGCTTCGAAAGTGAATTACAATAGGATGGAGTTTTAGAAAATTCATGTACCATATGTCTTAATCATTCAGGGAAAGCTCAGTGTTTTATGTTTTTTTTTTTTTCTTTTTTTTTGTAATTTAACAAATATTTATTGGGTACCCACCATTTCTTTTTTTAGGTCTGTGGCAGACTCTAGTGAATTAACCCCACTTGTTCAAAGAAGTAGCTAGAGGTTGAGTGATGATGGTTGTGGAGGCCATGCTGAAACTGAGCATTGTCCTGAGGCCCACAGGGAGGAGCAGAGAGACTGGCAGAGGGTTGGCATGCCGAGGCCCACATCTTGCTAAGCTCGCCTAGCCCTAATGTGGAGTAACACTTGGCATGGTGGTGAGGACTTAGCAGTTGGAGTGGGAATTATGGCTAGGGGCTTATGCTGTATTTAGGTAGAAGAAAGCAGAAGTAACCTACACCACAAGAATAAAAATTGTAGGTAGTGGGTCACTGGTGGTCCACAGCTGTAATCCTAGCTACTCAGGAAGCAGAGGTAAGGAGGATTTCGGTTCAAAGTCAGCCAGGGCAAGTAGTTCGGATGTCTATGTCAAAAAACCCCATCTCCCCCCCCCCCCCGTTTCTCTCTCTCTCTCTCTCTCTCTCTCACACACACACACACACACACACAAACACACAGAGCTGGTGGAATGGCTCAAGGTTTAGGGCCTGAGTTTAAACTCCAGCATCGCAAACAGAAAACAACTTTCAGGTAGCTCTAATTGGTTAGTTTCTGATGCTCTCTACCAGGTGCTTGGGACCTTACTGTGCGTTACTGTTAATGCTTGCGTGCAGTTTGTGGGAGAATAGCTGGAAGATTATCTGTTAAGCCAGCAACGGTCAGTGGAACTGTGAAGATGGACCAGGCGATGCTGGCCTGCTTGCCGTGTATTTGATCGGATGACATTTTGAGAGGTGTCAAAGTGTCCCTTGCTTTCATGCTCACTGGCAACAGGTTTGCTGCCTCCTGTTCCCCTAAGTCATGCTGGGGATTTAAGTCCCCAGAGAGCTCTCGTGGAAAGCCTTTGGACAATAGGTGACCTCAGGCATCCTGTGCCATGTGTGACTGCTGCTGTGGGTCTCAGCGTCCTGCTGTAGGGGTCTGTTTCTCTTTCCTGCAGTTAGAACCACGTATTTATACTGATTTAATCTGTATGGATTGGGAGAGCACACTACAGAGCATGACCCAGATATCGAAATGTAAATCAGGAAATAATTCCAAGCATAAAGTTTCTCCCTCACTGTTAGCAGCACACACTGCAAATTCATGGAGGCAGTTGAGAATGGTGTTCAGCGTGCTGTTTACCCAAGCTGCAGCTTCTGCTGGAGGTCTATTTTTATATATGACATCATCCCTGCCACAGAACTCCGTGCCCACTGGGATTTACTGTTCTTTCATTCCCCTTTGAAAGAAACCTTGTCTTGATGTCATAATTGGACCTATCTTTTGGTCGCACTTGGAAATGGAAAGTAATAGGGTGTTGTATAGCAGAGCATGCAATATTTCAGGCAGTTTATTTGTCAGAAAGATCACTGCCACTTTGTCCTGCCTTTCATTGTGAACATGGGTAGCTCTGTGCCTGTGTGTGTTTTAAATATACTTGGCTAAAATTTAGCTTTTAGTTACAACAGTAAAGATCTTTTTCATATTCAACTTATCATTTGATTTCTTTCTTCTTCTTCTTCTTTTTTTTTTTTTTCTGCCATGAGATGTTCCAGAGCTACATGCTGATTTAAAAAATGTCTTTCTTCTTTGGAAAATCGACTTCGATATTCATGCCTATTTCCTACCAGTGCTGAATTTCTCTTCTTACAATTAATATCAGTATAAATGATCTCCTTTTACTGCTTGAAATACTGGGTTTTAGAAACTTATTCTTTCTATTTTGAATCCAACGTTAACACTTTGGTAATGGTTATAAGATGCTGTTGACTTCTGGGTGAAACCGGAATGTATACAAGTTAGGTTTTAAATAATTTGTGAAGGGAAATAGTTTATTAACATAATTAAAAATGCCTACTAAATGCTCTGCATATCTCAATATACAAAATTTTGCTCTAGTCTCTCAAAAGTTACCAATTACCTATGATTTTAGTAGCAAACATTTATTTTTAATTGATCAATAGCAAACCTTTGCCATATTATTTTTTAATTATAACTTTATTGAGGTATAACTTACATACCACACAATTAACCTGCTTAAAGTATATTATTTATTGTTTTTTTTTTTTTGTTAAAAGTAAGCCTCACATAGCATTAAATTTATTATTTTAATCATGTTTTTCAGTGTCCAACTTGGTGTAGTGTTAAGTGTATCAGCAGTGAACTTTTTTTTTTCATTTTTCTTTTATTATTCATATGTGCATACAAGGCTTGGTTCATTTCTCCCCCTGCCCCCACCCCCTCCCTTACCACCCACTCCGCCCCTCCCTCTCACCCCAACCCCCTCAATGCCCAGCAGAAACTATTTTGCCCTTATCTCTAATTTTGTTGAAAAGAGAGTATAAGCTATAATAGGAAGGAACAAGGGTTTTTGCTGGTTGAGATAAGGATAGCTATACAGGGCATTGACTCACATTGATTTCCTGTGCGTGTGTTACCTTCTAGGTTAATTCTTTTTGATCTAACCTTTTCTCTAGTTCCTGGTCCCCTTCTCCTATTGGCCTCAGTTGCTTTTAAACTATCTGCTTTAGTTTCTCTGCGTTAAGGGCAACAAGTGCTAGCTAGTTTTTTAGGTGTCTTACCTATCCTCACCCCTCCCTTGTGTGCTCTTGCTTTTATCATGTGCTCAAAGTCCAATCCCCTTGTTGTGTTTGCCCTTGATCTAATGTCCACATATGAGGGAGAACATACGATTTTTGGTCTTTTGGGCCAGGCTAACCTCACTCAGAATGATGTTCTCCAATTCCATCCACTTACCAGCGAATGATAACATTTCGTTCTTCTTCATGGCTACATAAAATTCCATTGTGTATAGATACCACATTTTCTTAATCCATTCGTCAGTGGTGGGGCATCTTGGCTGTTTCCGTAACTTGGCTATTGTGAATAGTGCCGCAATAAACATGGGTGTGCAGGTGCCTCTGGAGTAACCTGTGTCACAGTCTTTTGGGTATATCCCCAAGAATGGTATTGGACAGCAGCCCTTTAGGAGCTCTCTGGCATCCGTTCCTTTCTCTTGGGTGTGACCTGTGTCTGATGTGTAGCATGTGCTAAGTGGGTTAGATCAGGAGGCCACCTGACCTTTCTGAGGTGGAATTCATTTTCCTAAGACATGGGCATTCATATCACAGGGATGCTGAGGACAGTGATATCTGTGCCTCCTCTCAAGGGACCACAGGGCTATTTTCCAGCTGTAGTATTTCTCACACTTGGTCATCCTGAGATCCTTTTATGCTCCTAAAATGTCTTCAGGGCTGCCACACTAGAAATTTAGACTGAGGAAATTGTAAGTGCATATTCACTGGTTATTTACAAAGAGTAATAATGGGCTTGTTGCCCATTGCTATCAGTGTTCTTTTAAGGGAATACAGCTTTTTTAGAACAAAAAAATTCTAGGAGAATAGTAATGCCTTATATGTCTACAAACGTGTTCACTGCTAGTAACTGCTGTTAGAAGACAGCTGGGTCTCCTGTCTGCTCTGTGCTCACTCTTCTGTGATAACATTCTTGTGGCGAGTTAGGTGAGTGTATGAAGAAAATCTGTGCACACATAGAAAGAAAGATGTTTGGAAAAGAGAATTTTTACAGGTTAAAAAAATAAGCAGTGATTGTGGTTGTCCTTTGATATATCCACCAAAAAAGACAAGCTGTGGTTCCATAGAGATTATTTGCAGTGAGAAATTTAAAACCATGTCAGTCAACGTTTCCTAATTAAAACTTTACTCTTATTAAAACCCATTGTCTTCTTTGCACGTCGAATGGCTGTTTCTTCTCATGCATGGTTTTGCAGTATCATGCAGTATTCACTGAATTCGGCAGCCTTCTAAATTGTGGCACATCATACAGTATAAAAAATCGTATTTGTTAATGCCACCATGGGTCTCACTTCAAAATGGTCATGATTATTGGAAAGCTTTAGCCTCATGGTATTAGGTACAAATTTTCCAAAGTTCAAACTTTTTTCTTAAAAGTTTATATTTTGTCATTTGCTAAAAAAGCAGTGTTAGCTCTTTTTCTTCAAGTGGAAAACTCATTTTGTCCCTTTTTAAGAAAACACCAGGGCTGGGCTGTAGCTCAGTGGTTGAGTGCTGCGTGGGTAGCTGCACAAGGCCCGAGTTTACTCCCCAGCACCAGACACAGAACAAAACAAGAAAATAGCTGCCACCCAAGCCGTCTGAATAACCATAGGTTTTCCATTATTTGTTT